AGTCATCTCATCGTAATTTGATATAACATCTGATAGTTAGTCGGTCAGTCAGTCAGCCACAACGTAGGACCAAGCACATATATGCATCGGTCTAAGTTGCCATATCTCATTTGGTATAGCAAGATGAACACTGGATGTAAGATGCAAACTACGTTTTGGACTGATGGACAGCTGTCTGGATGAGTTAGATACGCGCCCTCGCCCGTTTGAAACCAAAACAAAGTAATTGGGTAAGATGACGGTTCTAAACAAATATAACCACTCAGCTATCCAACCAACAATTGTTCAATTGATCAAATCAATCACCACAAATAAATGTTATTCTATCCTGTCTGGATAGATCACGTACAGATTCGTTCAAAAGGTAATAATTGGTCGCTCTATAACACAGAGTGTTTTCAATTCTGGAAGAGTGCTTCAATTCACAACCAAAATGCACAATTCCAGTCAACACAGGTCAAGCAATCAAAAGCAGGAACAAACCAAAAATGGCTGCCACCCAGACTTAGCATAAAGTAAAACAACATAAGTGCAGTTCGGGAAGAAACATGGGGAATTAGTGAAGGTGTAGTAAAAACGAAAACTATAATAAAATACAAATATTAACAATTCAAATGTAGTCAAAAAGTTAACAATGTACAACTAAGAGGATCAATAGGAACAAAGTACAAGTATATACATTGAGGGATTTTCACAAACACACAAAGCATTCAAAATGGATCTTACACTGGATTCATAGAAGCAGTTAACCTAATGGCGGTAATATATAAAAGAAAGGCTGCATATAAGGAGATAGTACAGGAAGAAGGAATTAGTACGTAGAAAGGTATAAAGTAGTTCTAATCTTATGGTTAAGAAGGATGACAAAGAGTCTATATACCGACGCCATTGTGATCGATTCTGAGCCATGTCACTCAGTCTCCAACCATTGGTTGCGATAGTCACACGGACCCCAACCAAGTAGTCTGCATCTACCAACATGGCTCAGACTAGAAGGTAGTGACTCCAAGCACTGATGCCACGTTTTGGTTTGGCCGCCTCTAACTTTCTTCCAACCATCCCGAACGCCGGTTAGCATTGCACGTCGTGGTAATCGGTATTCAGGCATACGTAACACGTGGCCCAACCATCTCAGTCGATGAAGATTTTCACAACCTCATCAACTGATTTACCATCATTCCCTAATACCCTGTGTCTAACCTCACTATTACTTACCCGGTGGTCCCAGCAGACGCCAGCAATATTTCTAAGGCATCTGTGGTCAAATACTAATAACTTACGAGTGTCTTCTACTCTTAATGGCCATGTTTCGCTTCCGTAAAGTAAAACAGAACGGACTGCCACACAGTATACTCGTCCTTTTATTGATAGACGGATATCTCGCCTTCGCCAAAGGTGATGTAAGTTGGCAAAAGCCAAACAAGCTTTCGGAATCCGTGCTGAGATTTCGTCCGATACCAGTCCATTAGGGCTGATCAGACTTCCAAGATAAGTGAAGTTGTCAACGCGTTCGACTACTTCACTCCCTATCCTTAGTTCAGGTGTTGACACAGACCAGTCCTGAAGCAACAACTTGCATTTAGAGGGAGAGAAGCGCATTCCAAACATTCTGGCATTGTTGCTCAGTGCTACCAAAACACTCTGCATTTTATCAGAGTCTTCACCAAACAGGACCATATCATCTGCGTATTCTACGTCGACAGGTGGCCCTCCTGGAAGGAGATCAATACCCGAGAATTCAGTCGACGACAGTGTTATTTCCATCAATAGGTCTATGATGAAGTTAAACAAAAATGGAAATGGTGGACAGCCTTGACGGACACCACTTGAGGTTGTAAAAACAAATGACAGTTCGTCATAAACTCTGACTCGACTAGCGGTGTTCGAGTAAAGAGCCTTCACATGGTTTATGTACTTCTGAGGTACACCTTTTGATGACAGACAGTCACAGAATTTCTTGGTCTATAGAGTGGAATGCTGCTTTTGAGTCAAGAAAAACTATTGGACCATAACCACACAATCCGCAAAGCTGAACATGAGACAACTCGGAAAATAGATATTCAATATTTAACACGGAGAAATACCTAACGATGGAGAAGGCGCGAACAATGAGTTGAGTGAATTAGAGTTGATCGAACGGCATGGCTCGGCCATGCAGGCGTGGTCCCTGCTGAATGTTATCTTATTTCTTCTATTCATATTAAATATGTTGTTCTTTCTCTAGCCTAACCTTGTTCTACATCATGTATTGGTAATTGGTACGATACAGTGAGTTGTCGTAGTCGATGGTGTGACTTCCACGTAAGATCTTATAGATTAGGTAGTTATATCATGACAAATCTACAAATTTAGGATTAGGTCTATTATTAACGCAGTACTAATACCATAGTAGACCATAATTCTACAAATCTTCTACCGACCCTCTCCAATGATGACTGGTGGCAATATGGTCTATTTGAGTCCATGGTTGGTTTGGTGTAGGGGGTCGCCATGTTAGACGATGTCTCTCCTTATGCTTAAAATTTGTTTGCTAAAAATAAACGATTGTCTGAGCATAGTTGCAACAGACGATCACCATTATCTGTTCGTTGTGCCGGAATACTAAAATACCTGCCTAAATGCCTTTCTGTTTGGTTTAAACTGCATATTTGAGCATTAAAGTCACCTGCTACGAGTACTGTATCTGAACGTTTAGCTTTCTGAAGAAGTTCAGATAGCTTTCTTTAAAGTTCATCTTTCACTTCGTCTGAGCTGCAGTCGGTGGGAGCGTAGGCAGAAACGACAAAAAGGCAACGACGTGTGTCCCTATCCTTCCGAGTTCTTACGGAGCCGTTTAGCCGACCAGCACATAAATGACTGTTAACGGGGATCCACTCTAACAGTGCTTGTTCTGTCCTTATGCATAGTGCTATCCCTACTCCTGCCAGTCCACGAGAGCTGGCCATCGGGTCACCAGATACATGGAGGGTGTATCTCGTTGGCTCTCCGTATTGCCGAGGTGAGGTCAAGTGAATGACCACACTGGGATCCTGTATGCGTGTTTCAGAGACACAGCATACATCAATGGTGCGAGATTCTAGGGTTCTAGCCAAGGAAGCCTGCTGACCGATTTGACATTGGATGCCTACGTTGAAGGCTCCAATGTATAGTTTGGAGCGAGGTTCCAGTAGACCTGGGACAGTGTTTTGAGCAATAGAATTGTTGGCTATGGTGACACTTGAGGAGGAAGCCGAAAAAGGAAGTTTAGCGTTGAAAGTCGATGTAGGAGGAGTAATAGGAAGTGAAGACAGAGGTTGATTATGAATACAGAGGTCTTGAGTACTGTTAGAGGTATGAGGGCGGTTATCACTTTCCAGTTGCCCACACCGTGGAAGGATTGTTCTGGAGGTACCTGAAAAGGAAACTGGATTAGAGGTGGTCTCAGTGACCTGAGATCGTGACGCAGTGCCCAAGGGACAATTGCTGGAGGTCGGTCGCACACGACCTTTTTATGAGTAATTTTTGTGTTAGCTCCGTACTTGTCGAGACCTTACCGCCGGAGACGGATATCCGTGGGATAAGGCGAGGTGTGCATTTTTAGGGTCGACCTTTTCTAACCCCACCCCTCTTTGTGGGAAGGCAGCATCGCTGTCATGCTGGTTGTCTGAAGGAAACACCTCACTGCTGTCACACCTCTGTACAGTTAACAGTACGACTTCGCCTTCGGACCTTGGGTTTGTTGCTTTAAGTCTTAGCGCTCTTCAACCGACCTGTCTAACATGGTAGGACCTTGAGGAACGGTTGTTCCAGCCAGTATAGCTCGGTTGCTTCATCACGATAGGCAAGCAAGACCACCACGTTAAGGTAGCAACAGCGGTCGGGCATAGGTCACATATTGGGAGCCGAATTAAGAAGGCTGTCAGGTCTGTGTGTGCGACCAACTTGCCATGTACAATTCAGAATACTATTTCTACCTGACGTATGGGTGACATGTTCCAGACGTTTATTTCCAAGGTTTGCGGTTGATTTCGTCTTCTTCATATTCTGGGGAGAATTATGTGCTGTCAAACATACTTGTTATGGTTTGCGAGGTTTGAATATATCGACCCTAGGTGTGTTGTCAGTTATAGAAATGTTATGATTAATTTTCCTGTTATCCGTTGGACAGTCACTGTAACTGTGTGTTGCACTAATAGGGATTTGGACTGTGTACTAGGTACCATATCAGTTGTGTATGAGACTGCTGAAATATTTTGAACTAATTGAACGTTTGTACTAATTGATCGGTAAAAGTGCGAGTTTACATTGGAACCTGTAAATTCAACGGTAATCCATATGACTTAGTCATTCTGGTAGCCTGAACTTTATCATTCCGAAAAGACACGTATATGATCTGTGTAAATGACTGTGCTTTACACGAGTTGAATGGAAATGGTGTGACCTACTAGCCCAGGTTATTCTTTCATCATAACTAGGTGAATGGACTATCTGAGTGACTGGTTAGAATAAAAACTTGTGATAGACAATGGAATATATCATGGTTAACAAGTCGCAAAATACAAAAGTGTAATCTTCTCTGGACTCACCTATTCATAAGATTAAACCAATAAATTCACAACAGCCATCCTTGACCATCTTCAACAGACTTTCCAAAGATCAGTGATCTGTTGTTTAACGCAGAGATGGTCTAACCTTATGGATGATTTGTCAAGTGTCGTGTGACATTTCACTTGCCCCACAGATCATTATAATTACTTAGGTGTCAATGGTAAATGCTACGAAGTCATGGAAGTGAATTAAACGTCACTATTCCTAGTAGTTCGTCGAAATGCAACTTATTTTATGTTCAAGAGTTAGTTTTTATGTGTTTTTAATTCTCACTAGATATGTGTCAAATATTGTCAAATTTGTATAGATCATGAAAATAATAATGAGTTTCAGAGTTTTAAGGAAGCAGTAAAGGAAAGCAAACAATCTCGTTAAGACTCATGGACACTTCGAGGATTTTTGAATTTTCGGATCGGAACCTTTCTTGTTTAAACTGTCAATCGTCATATTTGAGCGCAGCTACGACTGCTAAAGGGTCGGTTCCGTAAAATGTCTAATTGTGCGCTGGGATCTATTGTGTAAACTATAAACTATGGAATTTTACTTCACATTGACTAAAAAGCTGAGCAAATACACCTGGAGCGTTCAGGTACGTTTGGGTATACATCATATGTTGCGTTAGTGTAACGCATATGTATCGCTACATTTGATGACACTTTTGAATATTCTTTAATCAGTTTATTTCTAAGTAGGAACGTCATGGGAGAAGGAACATAGGTTTTGTATTTCAAGTTTGGATCTAAATTGAATAATATGTCACCGTACACATTTACGGTGAGCGGTTTTAGTCATCAAAAATATGAGACTATGCAACATTTGGATGCTGGCTATGCTATGTTTTCTCGTCTTAAGCCCCATATTTCACTGACTGGGAATTCTATCATTCGAGAGTCTTCGGGAATGCACAGTCACGTGCACTTGATACATCTTTTTCAAGCATCAGGTTAATTTATAGAATTAGTATCTACTAAGTGAACAGAATTACTTCACATTAGGATGTTCGAGCACTTTCAGTAATATAATGCTGTGCAACAAAAATCTGTCTACTGCAAGTCCTTAGATTTATCAGTAAGTCTATCCATCGTTTTGTCTGGTAAAAAGCTTGTTCTCTGGGTTTTCATCGTATTGTATATATGATAGTTGAGGCTTGATATCAGCCAACACAATAAAATAGGTCTTCCGTAATAACCTAGTTTTTTTCGCTGCACTTGGATATGGTATGCAAGGTAACCGGTAGTGTCACAATTTGCTGTTTGGCCTAATAGGATTGTCACTAAAAATCTGCTAGCTTCCCTATTTGTTAGGAAGTCCCCTTCAAACAAACTAATAAGATGTTATGAGTCTAAACAACGTGGGAGTTTGGCGTTGATTGTCGTTTCTAAACGGTAGTTTATTGTTTAGATTTATGTAGACAGCATATGCTGATCTCTACTCTGCGCTTATTAGTAACAGACGTACAGAAATCAGCATCATGGGTGACGTCAGTTACTGAATTAGGGTTCAGTCGATAGACCAAGATTTCATCAACCTCTACCGCCCGGAAGCCAGTGTAGTACTGAGGACGAGTGGACCAGTCAGTGGGTTCAACGATACTATCCTACAAACGAACTAGTAAAGCAACACTCCAAATCTATCTACGAAACATGCACGACTTGACATGTCACGAAAGTTACTCAACTAAACGATGTTCCCGCGTTTTAATCCTATAAGCAAACATGAGCAGCATATCCCACGCCAGTTGAAGAATCAATTATTAAACTCTTTCAGCACGTTTACAGTAAACGTGTTTGCAATATGATATTGTACATATTTCCTGAACCTATCAACGTCGTTACTTCAGATTAAATACCTTGGTGAATGCTTTTGTAACTGTAAATATAAGTTCGTAGTTCCCATATTCAGTTTATTACTACTAGTACAAGTTTTCCATTCATTTTCATATGTATCCATCCCCTAATTGCTAGTATTTTACTACTGTTGATCTTGTCACCTTATATCTATAGACTTTCAAGATGAACGAACCAACTGGTGTCGGGCCAACTTTTGCTGATGCATGCGATGATGGTAATTATTGATTTTAATCCTATCCTTTCCAGGCGAACTTATCAGCATCTGTTGTCTTTGTGGTAAAACGTTTTCCAGTCAGAGTCTACTGCACAAACATTTCGAATTGATGCATGAAGGTAACTCGTCAGAAGACTTGAAGCAGTTTTGAATTAGGTACAGAGATAGACACTGAACAATATGATCTAAGTGGATTTGCCGCTATGGGGAATGAACAAGGTCGTAAAAGTAATGGTGAGGAAGATGCAAGTAAGATTCATTATTGTATTTTGAATAACTAGGATTTCATCACGTCTTGAGATGTGTGGTCAGCATTGTGTATCATCTAGTTATAATTTTTTACTTGAAATAACCGTCATCCGCACATTTTCCTACGTAATAACGGTTAACAGTTCTGTTTCTTTTAAGTACTGAGCTGAAATACGAAAGCATGAAGTCCTCATAACGGATGGAAACTACAATCTTTTACAGTGAGCTAGTACTTACCGGAAATAATCTCTCCTAAAAGTAGTGTAGGTGGTTAATACTTGTATTTATCATAAACGCTATACTCATTTTAGCTTTCTTTATCCCTGAATGTATCTAAAATACTTTTATGTACAAGTATGTGACTGAAATCGCCCTATAAAATATCAACATGAAACAACCTCGTATTCCTAAATTCTCTCAGGTTTTATGCCATTCTTTTTAGTTTATCCCAGGAGTAATTTGTCTGATTACAAAGTGGTCATTTCTTTTCAGTTTCTCTAGTGAACAATTATAATACCAAACCGTTGGTTTCCTTAACACAACTTTTATAATATTTGTCATAAGAAAAATTAGCGATCTTAAGTGAATCAGTACCAAGCAGTTTCATCAGTAAAATCCATTTGCTGACTGACGATATTTTGAGCATACATTTTATCATAATTTATATTCATATCTGTTTATGTACGGCTCAAATTCTGGTTTGGTATATAAAGAAATTGCGTTATTCAAGTGAACTTATATTATTATGGGAAAATCCAGGGCGAAAGGTTGTATTAATAATAAATAAACGGACAAAAAATAGTAATTAGTAAAAGATTCACCAAAGCTTCACACATTCTTACCAATTTCAACGTTGTCTGGTGTGCTGGTAATCACTGGCCAGCAAACACAAGGCAGTTTGATCGTTGTTGGAGTAACAAATCAGATGGACTATTCCTTGAAGTGCTCCACCCAGTGTTCAAGATATCTTCATGGGTTTATAATTTGTGGGCCATCAGCTCTGAGAGTTGCTTTAAGTGAATTGGAACAGCTTCTGACAGTAACGAGGTGCGGAGTAATTGGACATAGAGTCACAACCAAAGATTTAATCATGCTAGGTGAAAGACTAGTTGGCAACCCGTCGAAATTTGTAGGTGTAAACTGGCTAAATTAACAAAACGGAGAGTAGGGCCCCCTGCGGCCTTGCAAAACTTCGTGCTTAGAAATATTTAGCTTCTCGTAAAGGACTGATTCGTAATGAGCGGAAAGGTTTTGTTAGGGGTACCTTCGATTCGGTGGACAGGACTGCTTATTGAAGAAGGGTGTGCCTGAGAAGTTTACTAACATCCTAAAAGCCCTATCGACAACCACCTCTCTCCTCTGTCCCACTCGAACAGTGGAGTTAAACAGGGTTGCCCAATCTCATCATTCCCCTTCAACTTTGCCATCTATGACATTCTGGAAACAGCTCTGATAGATGCGAGTAATGGCGGTGTAAATCCGTTGCTGGAGAAAGACTTCTCGACCTTGAGTATGCGGATGATATTGTCTTACTGTGTGATGATGCCCAAGCCATGCAATCCACATTTAATCAGTTGGCAATCAATGTCCGTAGGTACGGTATGTGCTTTGCACCTTCGAAGTGCAAAGTGCTTTTACAAGACTGGCAGGATCCTGATCCTGTATTCACCCTGGGTAATGAGCACATAGAAGTAGTCGAGAGGTTTGTATATCCGGGTAGCTGCATAAGTGCCAGTAATGACGTGTGTAATCGGATCAATTCACATATAGTGAAAGCCAGAGCGGCTTATGCCAATCTGGGCCGTCTTTGGCGCCTTCGTGATGTTAGTCTGGCTGTATACAACGCGTCGGTGAGAGCAGTTTCGCTCTATGCTTGTGGAACCTGGCCTCTCCGAGTTAAGGATGTTAGACAACTGTGTTTGATCATCGTTGTCCCCGAAGGATTGTTGACATCCAGTGGCAAAACCATGTTAGTAATGCAGAGGTTCGGGATCGTGTTTTCGGGCACAGAGACGGTAATGCCATTGGTGTCACCATCTTGAAACACCGACTTCGATGGCTTGGACATGTTCTCCGAATGTTTCCCAGAGAATTCCACGTCGTGTATTATTTGCCGACGCTGGGGCTGGTTGGAAGAGGCGGAGAGGTGGTCGGTGTATGACGTGGTGTCGTGGTATGAAAGAAAGCTGTAAGGGACTGGCTTCTGTTGGTTATTCACGGCTCCCTGGTTGGGGTCCTAGAGATGGTGCAACACAGTGGCTGGAGACGTTATCAGATATGGCTCAGAGTAGAAGGCAGTGGCGATCCTGCTGTAACTTTCATTTACTTCATAAAAAGTGATCGTAACTTTTTAAACTGAAAGGATTCTTTTCGGTTGTACCTTTCTGTATCTCTATTATTATTTCGATACCATACACTAATTTGTGGTGGTTGTTGTCCTTTTTTTCTTTTTGCACTCACCTTACATTCTTTATCTCTTCCATTTCTCATTATTATTGTTTGGCGTATATGTATCTGGTGCCCCCTTGTACCAATATTTATCTGTTCAAATAAATAAGTAAGAAAGTTTTTTGCTCAGGACGTGGATCTGTTGATTCATTTCTTCACTCCACCAAATACTGGGACACCTCCACACTTATTGCAGATCAAAAATCATTGTTTTGATATCAGAGCTTCTTTGATTCATTGGGAAAAACTGCTTTCAAACTGTTTGTTGGAGGGTGTCTTGGAAAGTTTATTGACATCTTGATGGCTTTATACACAAACGTGTCAAACAGAGTGAGACTGTTCAACCACCTCTTTCTGTTGTTCCATCCCTACAATAAAGTTAAGCGTTGTTCCTCTGCAACTTTCATACTCATGAAATCAAAGGAAAAGTTCCAGAAGAAATGCGTTGTGCAGGTAGTAGGGTCTGTCACTTAACCTGGAGATGGACTTTTCAACATTAAGAACGCGTATAACAGTCTCACAAACTATCCCAATCGCATCTAATCAGTTAGCATATATTTTTAATACGTATGTCATGTTTCTTGAACCTGCTGAATTTGAACCACTTCTGAAAAACTGGCTGGAGCATATGGCTCCACTCAATTTCCTTTAAATCTGTTAGTAGTCGAAAATTTCGTTTGTTTAAGCAGTGGGTGATAAAATAACATGACAGGTAAAATCAGTCCACGCGTAGTGGAAGACAATACAGCGTATGTTAATATCGAACATATTTGGCACCGTTGTGATGCTTGCCTCCCTCTGTGTAAGGATCAAGTTTACAATTGATTAGTCGGGAGTCTTCCTGGGATCTTCAGCTACTTTGTGTTCAGTGATCATTACCTCCAAGTGTTTTTTATCATCAGGTGGCAATGTATTACTGATTCTGAGGTTCTGCAATGAGTATTCGGCCACAGTGATGGACGAAAAATGATGTCACCATCTTGGAAAAACCGGCAGCACATTATTACTTAACACCGAGGTGGTCGCTTGATGATATGATCCCTTAATATGAAAGATTCTTGCTCGGGATAGGCGTCTGTTGATCCGTCAAAACTCCTAGGTTGCAGTCCTAAAGATGGTGCAATTCGGTGGCGTTAGATGTTGTCGGATATAACTCATATAAACTGATTATAATCCCAATTTAGTGAACTGAACCACCCTAACCAATTCTTACTGGCTGTACTTTTTACCGAGCTATATCTATGACATGCTATCCTTGTTTCATTTATTTATTGTAAAACGCTATTGCTCTTCATTTCACAATATTATGACATCACATATGTGAACCTCGTGTGCTAGTATTGTTCCTCAATGTGACCAGAAGACTGGCGTCTTCGTCAAATAGGACTATATCACCTATATATTCCAAATCAACAAGTAATTCTGGTAGATCAATGCCTGAAAAGTCGTTTAGATGAATATCTGTAAATAAGTTGGGTAAAAATGCAGAAAAAAGATAACCGTGACAAACAGTTGGGGTTGATAATCCTATTGACATTATATACTTATTCGATGATTTTCAACAATGTTAAACAACTGAAAAATTCCTCTTAAAAATAAAGTTATTATGTTTCCTGAGTTACTGTACTTCGGTGTGCCGTGTCACTCCTAACTGTGTTTATCTTTTTTTTTTCTATTCTTTGCAACAGATTTCCGAGTTCTGAATTGTGCATTTTGCAACAAAGTATTTACTAAACACTGTAATTTGAACACACATATCAAAGCAGTCCACAAAGGTCAGATTCTGTTGTTGTAAACACTTTTTGTCTGTAATGCGTTTTTACCCTTGTTTTCCTTCAATACCTACTCACCTGTTAGGGTTTTTGATTATCTTTTAGGTGTAAAACCGTTTGAATGCACTTATTGTTATAAAGGATTCACTCGAAACTCTGACCTCCATAAACACATCGACGCTGTTCACAAAGGTTGGCTAGTGTTTTCTACTTTAGGTAACCTTTCTATATAGGTCTCAAGCCATTCGGATGTGAAGTATGCCAGCGAAATTTCTCTCAGAAATCAAGCCTAAAACGACACATAGAAGCAATTCACGAAGGTAAGTCGATTCTCAAGGTAGATAAAGTAGCATAAGACTGCAGCTAAAATCTGATAGTTTTTGGCATATAAATATTTTTCGAATGATGGTCATGTCCAGCTTCTAGTTCTGCAAAAGTTTTGGTTTGATGCATTTTCATATCATTGTCTCGCACCATAACAATCTAGATGAAACAATCGACCAATTAATAGACATTTCAGTCTTCTGAAAACCCTCTTTCTTCCCTTTTTAGGTATGAACTTTGACGGCACCACTTCTCCAGATAGAAAAGGCTTTAAATGACGTTGAGGTCTGAGTATGTTTGTGGTTAAATTTAAAGATATATCGTCACAAATTCCCTGGGATTATAAACTTGAAGAATACACTAGATTACTTTTCATTTCCGTCCATCTATGCTGTCTTCTTAATTTTAGGGCTGTCTAGAAGTAAAGCAAACACATTCTGAACAAGACTTCTGCTAAATAGATGGATTTATTAAGACTAAACTGGTTCAGTGTTTTTTTGGAATGTTCGTTCTTTATGGCGTCCCCAAGCTGTAGTATTCTATTGTCTCCAATAATTCCAAGTCGGAAAGCATGCGCCGTACGCAGGTAGTCAACTAAATTAATAGTCGAGTTCATACTTCTACTAGGATTATTAAACATCAACGCCAGTATGAAGATGAAGATATATTCTAGTAACTCTGCTAGTTTCAAAGTGCACTACTTTTAGGTCAAGGTTTCTTTAAATCGCATCGGTTTATGAGAATCATGTGGAATGTACCCTATTTGAATAGATAACGACATAGAATTTTGACATTTATGTGAAAGCAATGATTTTGTGTACGGAGTTTTTTTAATCAGTTTTGCTGTTTTCTTTTACAGATCCTCGGCATCGCTGAAGAAAAACCAGATTGTATAATCCTCTCCAATTTTCATATGATTTCATGTTCAAAAATATACATTTATTATTCTTTCAGATTGTGATATTTCTAACCATCCGGTCCTCCGATCTTTGAGAAATAGGGAGCTGAACGAGAGAATGATTCGAAAGTCTCATGCATGGTAGTAAAGGATATATACTATAAGCAAACGTGATAAGAGCTCTGAGAATTACTGAATAAAGTACTTAGAATAATATGCAAGGATAATTTATTTACAAGAAACATCTTATGTACATGAACTTTGACAATCTGCAGACATGTAGCTTCATCTAAGTTGAGATGCGTCACACCTGGGTTTTCCTGGTACATAGGTAGAAACCTGAAATGATAAAAATGGATGTTAGATTATGTCGCATATTGATTGGTAGACCTACAGAACCACATGGTTAGGAAATATGGGGATATTTCGGAAGCCTACACGAAATAGCTGATAACAGATGATCCTTTACAGCCAAAGCAATTTGTCTATGGGAATAGTTTCTATTGAAAAAATGTTATCATTATGCCTATTTAAACATAATAAGTTGTAAGCTTTTGGGTCTTTCAATTCCTCTGCGTTTGTAATATGCTCCTATTTGATTTCCCTAACTTGACTTGAGTTTTTGAGATGTTAATTAGTGGTCAACCTGATACACAGCTCAGATAGTTTTAATCTAATTCATAACATCTATGCCGTGTATTGTCTATATCACATCATCATATTCACATCCGTTATCCGAGTTACGTCTGCAGTCATTGTGTTTCTAAGCTATGTTAAGGTTATGGAAGGATGAAGGAAGCATGACTTACGGTATGTCTTAGTTGGTTAGCTGAAGTATCCGTAAAGGGAAAGGTCGAACGTAGCTCTGTATTCTGAAGAGAAAAAAAAACTTAAAGAACATCATATGAAGCTGTTACTAGATAAAGCTTATCTCACAAATTTTATAGAACTGACAAACAACTCGATGAGAACTCAAGGATAATAACTACCTAAAGAATTCCAATGCGAACTTACTAAGTGGCTTGTTTTATCGTCGAGTTCACTGTCGGGTAAGGTCATGTGTGCAACTTTCTTCAACAAATGAGGAAACAATTGCAATATAGCTTGGTATTCTCGGTTCAACTTGTCAAAGGCCTAAAATAAAAAAGTGTATCACAGTCTACATGTCCTGATTTATAAGAGAAGAGTGCTGCAATTTCGTATCGCATAAATATGTAGCTTCTTTTAATAGTGTTTGGTCACACAAAACGTCAATAGACGACCAGGTGGACGTCTTGCGCGCCTTAGTTGTTTAATACAACGGGGAAAACGTACACAAGTTCACGGACTAGACATCTCTACCCAAAAATATTTAAAACGACTAACGGGTTTTATGTAATGACGCTTGTCACCAAAAACGTTCGCTAAACAACCTGATTGTGTTTCCGTAGTTTCTATTCCTCCTGTGGGAATTACGAGATAAAGTGACCGGGTTCAATGAAAACCATCAGGTTTATAAAGTATCTACAATAACGAGAGCAACGATCGGTTGCGATGGAGAGAAAATCTGTCCCGTTAAATATTTTGAATGCCGACTACAAACTAGTCAGTCTATACATTGACATATTGTGATTTTTTAGCAGTAGAGCAGTACGTTTGTTGAAGTTACCTAATAATTTCCTTTGGTGAACGATGCCTATTTACAAGATATATATGGTTTGGACAGAATCAGGGTTTTAAACCCCCACAGGTGGGTCATCCATACCCACCAACCCGGTTAAAGTGCAAGACATTCGCTTTTCGTGATCAACAGTAGTGCCGCGAGAAGGCAATGAGTAGAACTTCCCTGGTAGTGGCTGTATGCGCGTGGTCATGTGAGAGCATTTCGAGAGTAAGAGCTAACACTCCCCAGCCTCGCCGTGCCAAGCAAATGCACTTGAAACTATATAAGCATCATTAAGGATACTCCATACACTGTCAAAAAAAGAGAATTTATAACGAGGCATTAAATTACAACGAACAAGTATACTTATGTAAATATTACTCACCTGTCTGAAATTATCAAGTAACCGAGTTTGCGCTAGTAACTTTTCTTGCAATATGATGACCTTTTGATTGAGTTCCTAAATTTAGAAAGGGCTGGGTTAATAGTAAAAAATTCAGCATACACTAGCGAAATTTAGTAGGATGAGGTTATATTCTAAGATTACCTTCAATTGCAGCGCGTAGGCGCTTTATGTTGAATAAATTATTGTGACGCACTGAACCTTAGTGGTTCATTACAATCACGTTCCTACTGAGATACTGTTAAAAACAAGCAAACGATAAATTTCAGATATATTCAGTCAGTAATGTGACAAACTAGCCAAACAATGATGGCCACAAAAATACAATCCGGCGTGTAAAATGATGGAGAAAATACATTACAATAAGTCATACAATACAACTAAGTAATAGTGCAAATAGTTCTGGGTTTTTCATTAAAAGGGGAGTTAAGTTAAAACAAGGAGCGTTTAAATGCCACAACTTACTTCAACTTTCAATTTTTCAGACTTCTTAGTCTAAAGTTCGAATTTTGAAAACGTTTTAATAAACTTATCAGATACAGAACTGTATTCCCCAGAGATATATATCAACTACCGCGATACTGTAAGCGACCTTTTTCATGTCCTATGCCTATCTTCAACAAAACTAATTTTGTTGTTTTAGCAAATCCAAGCTATATTTCGAAAAAATCTACGATCGAACACTAGCAACCTATGCAAGTTTCTAACTATGAAAGTCCAAGTTTCATAGACACAAAATAACAGAGACTGATGTAGCACTATACACTTGCACACTAATTAATAAAGAGGACATCTTAAGTAGCAAATATCAGTTGACAGAAGCCAAACATGCCTCTTTACCTAATCTAGCAAAACATACAACTATTTGACTTCCTATAAATAGACTACAAAATGATGCGAACCACTCCTGAAGAGATGCTTTCAAAGAGAACGTATGCCAAACATCCTCACGTCTTAACTGTAAATATCTCCATCAGAAATAAGTGAGAACGTCTCTCGATGGGAGTTGATATCTACAGAAAAATTGTGACGAAACTAAAAGAAATAGTGAGAACGAGTAGTTTTGACAACTGCCAATTAGCGTAACTAGTCCATAAAACGACTCACCAAAATCAATATTGGCTTAAAGTCAAGAGATCTTATAGTCATGCACCAAGTAGTTTGCCTGTAGCTAAAAGCCTATCGAAGGTTAAAAATTTATTCTGTACATCTACGGCCCTGTCTGAAATAAGCTTATTTGATGGCCTTACATAGTGTTGTTTAAAAAATAAAGAATTAGTAAAAACACAGTATTATTGGGGACTATCAATACCTTAAATAACTTTTTGAAAACTGATTTCCACGAAACGTTCCCCATCGATTTTCTTTAGATTAGGGTGTGGTGTTTGAATGAACTAATGATAACTTTGTACTTGTTGAATGCTTGATTTCGAATTCTAAATACAGTACATTCGTTTGTGGTTATCTAGTAGTTCTTGATCCGATTACGTTATTTCTGGGATTCCTAGTTCATACTATAATTCAAGCACTTATAAATATCACATAGGGTTATCATTTACTCAAAAGTTTGAGCAATCAAGCAAGCATTTCGGAGATATAAACATGAATAACCGTGTATCTAAAAGCATAATTTACATTATACTAACATTAAAACGGGACAAAAATCACTTTTACACAGGAAAGTGTTTTAGATACTTGACTGGCAAACATGCCGATGTAAAATAATCGAAATGATACAGTAAACAGATTTTTTAATAACCTACCGACTCTTGTACAGATTGTAATGTACAATTCAAATTGGCAATCTGGTCAACAAGTTGGTATTGAGTCATAGGACTACACAGCAAAGAATGGCCAACAGAAGTAGAAACTTCAGAAGAACTAGGTAAGGCAGTTTGTACGTACGGTTTTTCTATGTCTTCGAAGTTCACTTTATCCCCATGAATACGTAATGGACTACTGAAGAAAAATCATAAATTTGAACAAAATTTAAATCAGACTAAACCTAAATATTCTTATCGGATATTTTATTATGTTTTATCAATCACTTGACCATATCTTTATTGCAGTTAGGTTGGTAAGAAATAAGTCTTCAGTTGTATTTTGGCAGTAAAACAGTGTTTTATACTAATATCTCCATGATGCAATGAAACACAAGATATTTTGAGGAGAAATAGTATTCATTGTTCTTTCACGTTATTCAATATAATTTGTTTCTTACTGTCGTGTCAATTCATCTGATCTTTTCATCTAATACGCTACCTATTTAAAACCAACAGGATTTTCAAACATGTATTAAAGATCGAGTTTGTAATAAAGCCATGTGCACTACTTGTACTTTTCAACTGAAACATGAGAGCTAAAAGTGAATGATGTGGAAAAACAAGAAGTAACTGGGAACCAATAACCGGGAAAGTGGGTTATGCGCAGAACCACCGAATGAAAAATGGTGTTGAGTGTCAAGTTTCAACCACGGATACAAATTAGTCGAAATTGTAAAAAAGAATTGATTGACTTCAAATTTCATAATGAGGTAGTGATTGGGTTCGTGATAGAGCACGAATTCGGTATTAGCGGTTTTCATACATTAACATTATCTTGTTCTGTTAACTACAAATTCATTATAAAATACCTTGTTCGTTTTTTTTTACTTTTTTGTTATTTCAGAAAACTGTGCAGACGCAAATGATTTAAAAAATTTGTCTCTACTCAGTTTTGATCAACTGAATATATTAAGATAATATTAACATTTGCACTTTACATATGTATTTTTCCTAAGAATCCACTGTATGAAAAGTGTACTGAGTTCAGGAAATTAATTTTCTATATCTAAAGCTAATAATAGGAATTATTAGGAAAGAATCTGCAAACATTTGCAAACCTGTCATTTTCTTTTGCAGTACTGACTACTGTAAATCCATGACAACATAGTGTAGCTTAGCAATAACATACGGACCCTTACTTCATTCTATAATTCAAGTAACGTTCTTTGCTTATCTTGTGAGTGCTTCGATACTACCTTTAAGGAAATGTGACAAGTCTTGATAAAATAAACACAGTTTAATTAAATGATGACAGTCCTTGAACCCCTGGATAAACAAACTTCAGAAAAAACGATTGATCAATTACGTTGTCATACAGTGAAAGAATTTACCGACTGAACCAATCAAATCTAAGTACATAAAAATCATTGTATATATAATTGGTAATAAACAAAAGTAACTGATTAGACAATAATATTATTTCAAATAACAACAGAAAGTTTGATCATTATGTCGAACAATAAATTAACTGTGAGGTGTATGCTAAGCACTTTTGAAGCTAGACAAATAACTGTCACGGAACCATGTCATTTATGCATAAACATAACATGGTTTTCCTCAATGAACTATTTACATGATAAGTAATGGAAATGAAAAAATATGAGCAACCTTACCTAGTATTTGTACAATTAAGCGTAGAAAGTGCTCTTCGGAGTGTTCTTGACCCGGTATCTGCTTCATTTTGATAAACTTCTGACGTTTGTGTTGATTTACATAATTCAGATGTAACAGCTCGGATAGACCGGTGCCCAGTGGACGAGCGACGATCAGTTAGCTTCCTTCGTAAAAGATGAAGATTAAAAGATCAGATTACCGAACTCATGAATGAACGACATACGATAAGATGGTGAAATAGGACACCATACTTGATTAACAGACTTTAGATTGAAATCCAAGTGTATATCGAATTACAGGTATATTGATGATCCTTAACGACAAATATACAAAATCTTGGACATTCCGAGTATTTGTATTTTTAGTAAAACAAGTAACATAAAAATTCAATTAAATTACCGAGATTATGTATAAGAAGAGAAAGTAATTGGTTGACAGAGTATTAAGGCATTTAGCTTTCTTAGAAAATTCCAACAATAATAAACTTCCGAGAATTATCTTTGTTTAATAACTCACCAAGGCATATTGTTGTGAATGATTTAACCGTCGTAACACTGAAAGTCTATACGAGTTTACTATTTGAACTCATATCGCTAAGTGTAATCCTGTCAAACGAACTGAGTTGTTGTTGTGAGGTCTAAACGTAACAACCGTAATTTATTTTGAAAAGCACAACTATAATAAAATTATACTAATAGATTTTAACGGACAACACTTGGTGGTTAAGATGTTGTTATTTTCGGAGATAACTGTACAACACAAATTAATATGAGGTGGAGGACTATTGAAAACCATAGTCAGTTTAGTGCCCCATAGTTTTAGACAAACCTCCCAGTTGACGAAAATTACCTTTATAATAAGCAATAAATTTACCGAAACCCAAGTATAATTTAACAACTGATGATTCTATAATGATAATTCACAAATTAAAATTAATGATATTTTGTCGATTGGAGTATGTTTTTTCATCTGTAATGTTTAAACACACTATTACAAGATGGTCAGTTATATTGGTACTATTACTTTCACGATATTGTTTCTCGATGTTACCTTTAGAGAAAAAAAGTACATGCTTAAAGAATAAATATTCCTATAAAACACGACCAAAACATTCTAAATGTACGATTTTCATATTTTAAGCATAAGTTGAAGTTTTTGGTTGCGCTGTCTGAAAGTAGTTCTTATTATTTCTGACTTGAAATCGGACGTAACTTTTCAACAATTGATTTTTATGGGATTTAGTGGCCTATAATATATATCAGCTATAAAATGAGCTGAGAAATGTGTGGGGAGTTTAAGAGATAATTAATAAAAGGTACCTTCGCAATTGTAGGACACCATCTTCACGAATGGAAATTAATTCTCTAAGCTTCGCTGCCTCATAAGCCTGACAAGTTCCGGATTCAAACATAATTGAAGATGCTTTTTGTCGTAAGATACGTAATTCAGACATTAATTCTATCAAAAAATTTCGAAAAAGAAAAACTAAAAACACGCACATATATCTTGAATGGAGTTCTTGCTAAATAAAGTTGCGAATTTGCGCTAACTCACTGAATCACTTAAAAATAAAAAGTCGTTAAAATTAAGCGAACTGTAGATAATGATGTGCAAAATTGATTGTTGTGGTTCATCACATAACAAACTAGGCAGTTGCACTTCCCTTCTGACGTGCGTTAATATCCTGATAACAACGATGAAATTCAGTTCAGCTGCTATAATACGTAGTGGCTCTGCCATAAGTACTTGTCTTTCGAGCAGGAGACTGTATGTTCATATACATTTTTATCCACCAGGGTTCAAAGAAGCATAAGATCATCATAAGAACTCTTATAAGATGTAGATAGAAACCGACTTTAATGAATTGAGTTTATTACGTAATAGAGGATTACTTTTATGATGCCTGTTGCTCGTACATCAGCACTTAAAGAAAAAAGAATACGGTATGGATTCGATGTCTATCTCCTAACTGTGACGTTTTGGAGTCAAGTTGACAAAACGTTTAACCGGAGTTATTTTGAATAAATGTAAGGATAACTAAGTTGTAAATTCAAAAACAAAATAAATAGGACTTTAAATAAACGTTGTTTGTGATATACAGATGGATAAAAAAGTATAGTAAATCTGGGATGGTGATTACTTTTTTTCAAATGAACAAATAGTATCATGAAGTGGACTCTATTTTTTACTCCAACAGATTACTGGTTTATGTCTTAAAAAAGTATTCACACAAATGATTCAGATAGTTCATGGAAGCTCTGTTACAAACACTTTGGTTGATATATATATATATATATATATATATATTAAAGACAAAGGTACACATATAAATTACCACGAATCAATCGACTTTTCGGATCTTCATTGACCATCGCTGAATTGACAATACATGACGCCTTTTTGGCATAACTAAAAATATACAATGTAGTAGAAATGAGGACTTTCTAAGTATCTTTGCAACAAGTTAGTTAAAGAACATGAAAATGACAATTCGTTCACAAACGCTTCAATTCAGAGCAGACGGGTTAGGAGAAAATCGAAACAGAATTATCAGTAATAAACGAGTCACAGTAACCAACAAAAATCAGCTGGTTGGTGGACTACAAACAAAACATTCTTTCATCATTCAACCATAAATGAGATCAGATCTAAATTGAATTAAAACGACGATAGCTCCTACCGTAAGGTGCTTAATGTTTCGTCGTAATGAGTTTGACAGGGGCTGACAGTTGCCAGCATTACTGTGACTGCATTGCCTCCTAAACTATCCTTCAGTAACCTAAAACGAAAAAAAAAAACAGAACGAAATAAAAGCATTATAAACCAACAACGTGAAAGTCGATGTAATGAATTTAAAATGTTTAGTTCAACTGCACAAATGTATCGAAGTGAACGCTTGACTTTACAGCTTAATCAGTGAATGTCACAAAAATCCGACATTAGCAATTTCGGTGTGACTATAATATATGGACGACCTTTGGGCGACGCTGAAGTGACCTTGAGTGTCCATCTACAAACCAGGACCAAATGAGGGTTATAAACAAGCATGAGAAAATAGAATTATGGTTTGCAGTTGATGGTTAAGGTTAAGAATTAGATTCAGGGTTTTCATCACGAACTGATATCAGGTATAATGCTAAAACTCTATTTAGCCAACTGAAAGCATAAATTTCGCGCCAAAATCAGAGGCCATGTATCTTATACCCGATAGGTCCATCCATAAATTATACTCTCGCCGTAAATTCTAATCGCGTTTCTGCGAAATGCATAGAGCCATGCAACTATAAAGATGTTATCAAAAACATGAACTCATCTAGGTCACATCACCATTTAAAACCCAGAAGCTCTGGATGACCTTTTGGTCCAAGCATGGGACTTCTTATAAGTACAAACTGACGATGAAACCTCAATCTAATGCTTTTGAGTTTTTAATGATGATCGAAGTTAGATCGATCCATGATTTTAATGAAATTCAATAACCTCCACAGTCCTATATCGATAAAGATATTAGTCAGAAGTTTCAAAGAGTGAGATTAAAATTCTGAAATACAAAGATAGCTTATTTTTGAGAATATTAGAGAATGATGGTAAATCAGTTGATGAGGTTGTGAGCCCCCATCGACTGAGATGGTTGGGTCACGTATTACGCATGTCCAACCACCGATTACCACGGAGTGTTGAGTAGTATTGGAGACAGTTGGATGAAATCGAATGGTGACCAAAACAAAGCGTGAAAACAGGCCATAAAATCACTTCTGATTTGAACCATGTTGGCAGATGCAGACTACTTGGTTGGGGTCTGCGCAAATATCATGACCAATGGTTAGAGACTCTTGGTGACATGGCTCAAAATCGATCACAATGGCGTCGGCGTATACACTTTATGTCTTCCTTTAAACGGTGGGATTAAAATTATTTTACACCTTTCTTTCTACGAACTAATTCTTTCTTCCTGTACTATATTCTTATACACAATCTTTCGTTCAAACATTACTACCATTGAAGTGATTATTTTTATGAATTCGGTGTACATCTTGTTGTGCTAATGAGGTATGGCAACTTGGAACAACGCGTATATATGCGTGGTCCTACCTTGTAGATGACTGACTGGCTTATGTTGTTCCACGACGGTACGATAAAACTACAGTGCTAACCCATGATAGTCTATTCAATTTATTATTATTGTGCTTGTAGGTATCAATACCCAGGTTTGACTTGATACTTTCGAATAAATTGAACATTGGGTATATTGTTTTAAATAAATTAATATATTGGTAGTATCTCAATTAGCAGAAAAACTAGATTTTCCGACGTTTCGTGACTCAGTGTAAGCCACTTCTTCAGATAATAAATAAATAACCAAATCAAAATTAATCCAAGTTCAAATAATACAAAGGAACAACGCAAGAATATTATGTGGCACAGTCCAAAAATGGTAGTTCACTGAATTCATTTTCGGAAGTGTATTTTATGTGCACTGAGAAAGTATTTATCATTTTATAAAAAATTTTCATGACGGTTCCTTCATTGTGACAAAATGTCATCTACAAATCTGATAAGCGAAATGTGAGGTTAGCTGGTACTTCCAAAATTACGCGATTCTGTATAGGATATGAAAAAATTAACGACAATCGATTACAGAGGCGGTTCCATAGCTACTCCGTTAGTTTGTTTATACCAAGTTCCTTTGGACGTTAATGAGGTTGAAGTCATGCCGAATTTAAGGGATTTCATTATTAAGCTAATATTTAATGGACATCTTGCTAGATAGAATATCATCATCTATCAAGTCATTGTTAAAATTTGGAATCCTAGTCTGTAAAAATACAAAATCATGGCTTACCATCGTTTCGTTATCTTTGGCGGTTAATTCTGAAAATTTTGACTTAAAATCACAGAAATCTTTAGTGATACTTTTTACGTTATTTCAAAGATGTTTCAGTATACCACTTTGATATTTAGGTATACTATATATCGGAGTGTTTTTGAAGTTTATGTTTTAAAGGTATATCAGGTTTAAGAATATTTGGTAGTCCTTACAAACGGAATGTGCTGAACAATTTGAAATATAAAGTAAATCATCAGGAGATATGAGCAACTGACTCGAGTTCTTTAAAAAGTTAGCATGTATCTGATTTAACTGTAATTATAGAGAGATATTTTAAGTCTATGTTTATACACGACAGTCGTCTGACTAAACGGAACAATAAGGACTCGGAAAGATATGATACTCGTCGTTGCCTCTTCGTCGTATCTGCCTATTCTCCCACTGACTGCAGCTCAGATGATGTAAAAGATGAGTTTTACAGAAAGCTTTCCGACCTTCTCCGAAAAGCTAGGCGCTCTGATGTAGTAATAATGGCCGGTGACTTTAATGCTCAAGTAGGTAAACTAAGCGAAAGGGAAAGACACCTAGGTGGATCTTATGGTGTCGTGGCTCAGAGAACAGATAATAGCGACCGTCTGTTGCAGCTATGCTCAGATAACCGCCTGTTCCTTGCAAATACTAACTTTAAGCATAAGCAAAAACATCTTTTAACATGGCGACCCCCGAATTCGTCCCAACGTTGGATCCAAATAGATCACATCGCTATCAGCCACCGATCGAGATGCTCGATAGAAGACTGTCGCTCATTCTGGAGCACATGCTTAGATTCAGATCATGCTCTAGGACGAGCGCGTATTTGCTTGCGTCTTACTGGACGTAGGAAAGACGCTGCAAGGAAACCTCTTACGGGCCTACTTAATGATAGTCAAGCTAAGAGTATATTTCAGGAACGACTAGGCAAACAGTTAGGCAGCCATGTATGTGATGCCCACCCCGATGCAGCATGGAATGATATCCGAAAAGCTGTGGAAACAGCAGTGATATCTGCTAGTAAGGTAAACCAGAAGGTTAGGGAGCAACACTACAACTCAGCAGCATCTACCGCCCTGATAGATGCTCGGAAACTCATTCCATCTGGCTCTGAACATAGTGAAGAGCGGAGTCAGCTTAAGCACAAGCTGACAATAAGTCTACGCAATGATCGTGAACAGTGGTGGGTAGCAAAAGCAAGAGAGATGGAAAAGGCAGCGGCAATAGGTAATAGCAGACAATTGTTCAGACTCGTTAAGGAAACCGGAATTAGGAACCCGACCGTTAGCGAAACAATCTCAGAGAAAGATGGACATATTATACATTCTCAATCCAGGAGATTGGATCGATGGGCAGAACACTTTAGGGATCAGTTCAACTGGCCTTCAGCCACACTTCGGTTTCCCACGATCTCTAGTCAACCTGAATGGCAAGTTAATGTAGGTCCTCCGTCCCTTTACGAAGTTGAAAAAGCCATAGGAAATCTGAAACGAGGGAGAGCAGCAGGCCCTGACAGGTTTACTCCTGAGATTTTTAAGGATGGTGGTCCAGCATTAGCAATGAGATTAACCGAGGTCTTAGGTAAAATCTGGGAACTGGACGTAATCCCGTCTGACTGGTCTCAATCACTGATTGTGCCAGTCTATAAGAAGGCACAAAAGTCCTCTTGTGACAATCACAGAGGAATCAGTCTGACTAATATAGTGTCTAAAATATTAGCTTCAATAATACTTCGACGCCTAACGAAAGCTCGTGAAGAGCAGACTAGAGAAAATCAGGCTGGTTTTCGACTTGAACGTGGTTGTATAGACCAGATATTCACACTACGTCAGGTCCTAGAACATAGACACACATTCAGACGCCCCACAATCGTAGTATTTCTCGACCTTAGGGCAACATTCGACTCTGTTGATCGTGAGATTTTATGGCAGTGTTTGTCACTGAAAGGAGTACCAAAGAAGTACATTAACCTTGTAAAGGCTCTCTACTCGAACACAACTGGTAGAGTGAGAGCTTATGGCGAACTGTCATCAGAATTGATTACCTCAAGTGGTGTTCGTCAGGGCTGTCTACTCTCTCCATTCTTGTTTAACTTTGTCGTTGACGTACTTTTACAGATAACACTTTCCTCGTCAAGATTTCCAGGGGTTGAACTTCTACCAGGAGATTCACTTGTTGACTTGGAATATCCTGATGACATAGTTCTATTTGGTGAAGTCGCAGAGTCTTCTGACCACTCTAAGCAACAATGCAAGCATGTTCGGGATGCGATTCTCACCCTCGAAATGCAAAATGTTGCTTCAGGATTGGGTTGCATTGACACTCGAACTAATGATAGGGAGTGAAGTAGTTGAGCGTGTCGACCGCTTCACTTATCTTGGGAGTCTCGTCAGCCCTTGTGTTCCAGTGTATGACGAAATTTCAGCACGGATACAGAAGGCTCGACTAACTTTTGCCAACTTGCGTCATTTATGGCGTAGGCGAGATATCCGTCTATCAACCAAAGGACAGGTTTACTGCGTAGCAGTTCGTTCCGTCCTACTTTATGGCAGTGAAACATAGCCGGTAAGAGTAGAGGATATTCGTAGGTTACTAGTATTCGATAGCAACCGATGGTTAGAGACCTGGAATGACATGGCTCAAAATCGTTTGAAATGGCGCAGGTGCATACACTCTGTGTTCTCCAAATTCTAATCTCCTGATTCCTCCTTGTCTCTTTTTTCGCTTCGCAGATTTATTTCACTGTATTATACTCTTTAAATAACATCTCCAAACCCTAATCTTCCCGATTAATGCTTATACTTTTACTACCTCTACCACTATGGGATTTGAATGGACAACTGCATCTCTGTGCTAATGTGGTATGGCAACTCGAACTGATGTACGTACGTACGAAGTTCTACGTTGTTACTGACCGACTG